TGGAACAAACCCCGCCCCCTGCTCCTAGCAGCCCTCAGTCAGAGCAAGAAGCGGCCAGGTAAGTTGCAGAGCTCCCCCTGGCCCCCCAGTCCAAAATAGTCCAGTGGCACCTTTAAGACCAAGTTTTATTCAGGTACAAGCTCTCCCTCCTCTGCGAGGACAGATCTGCATGTCCCCCCCCAATAGCTAGCAATCCAAAAGAGTCCAGTGGAGCCTGAGCGGTGGGTGTTGCCTTCTGACACACTTCGGGTGAGGTCAGGGGGTGTGGCATATGCAAATACGTTATGCTAATGAGTTATGCTAATGAACTCCTGCACCTCCTTTTCTACAAAATGATCCCTGCATAAATTTATTGAAAATTGAACTTGAGTAAAATGTGGAGTGGGGAGGGAAAGTGACAAAGATAGCCCAGGGGTCCCCACTTTTCCGAGTGCCCACCAAGTGCTTTTAGAAAGTGGGAGGGGTTGGATGGAGCTTCTACCTAGCAAGGTTTCTGATGGGCCACTGGAGATCTGATTGGCTGTGCAGGTGGTTTTTTTTTGATGTTTTTTTAATGTTGGGGGGTTGTGGTCATCTTCTGAGCATGGAACAGCGGTCACTGGGTGTGTGTGGGGGGGGAGGTATTTGTGAATTTCCCGCCTTGTGCAAGGGGGGTTGGACTAGATGACCCTGGAGGTCCCTTCCAACTCTATGATTCCACAATTCTACAAATGAATGGATGAAACAAACAAAATAAATAAATCTCTGCTCTGCTATGAAGCTCACTGGGTGACTTCGTTTCAGTCTCTCAGCCTGACCTACCTCCCAGGGTTCTTATGAGGATTAAAGGGAGAACCCTGAACTCTTTGGAAAAAGGGAGGAGGATAAATATATTCTAGGCAGACATAGCCCAGGAATCTACACCATTATCTGCAAAAACAGAACTTCTTCTTTCATCATCTTCTGGGCATGGAACAGCCGTCAGTGGGGGTGTGGAGGGGGAGGTATTTGCGAATGTCCTGCATTGTGCAAGGGGGGTTGGACTAGATGACCCTGGAGGTCCCTTCCAACTCTATGAGTCTATGAGCTCAGAAGCTTGTCTCACAATAGGGCCGCCAACCGCCAAATGGGGGCCTCGGGATCTCCTGGAATTCCAGCTGATCTTCAGACAACACAGATCAGTTCCCCCGGAGAAAATGGCTGCTTCGGAGGGCAGACTCGATGGCATTATAGCTCACGGAGGCCCCTCCCCTCCCTAAACCCCGCTCATCCCAGGCTCCAAACCTCCAGAATTTCCCAACCCACACAGGAACATTCTGAACTTTTCAGCTGTGCAGGAACATGAAAGTGGATGGGAGACCATCAGTCCTGATCGGCCAACACTAGCTATGCCAGTTTGGTGTAGTGGTTAAGTGTGCGGACTCTAATCTGGGAGAACCGGGTTTGATTCCCCACTCCTCCACTTCTGCTGCATGACCTTGGGCAAGCCATAGTTCCGACAAGAGCTGTCCTTGAAAAAGAGCCGTTTCTGTCAGAGCTCTCTCAGCCCCACCCACCTCACAGGGTGTCTGTTGTGGGGAGGGGAAGGGAAAGGAGTTTGTAAGCCGATCTGAGACTCCTTTGGGTAGTGAAGGGCATGGGGTATACATCCAATCTCCTCCTCTTCTTCTTCACCTACCTCACAGGGTGTCTGTTGTGAGATGGGGAAGGGAAAGGAGTTTGTAACCCGCTCTGAGACTCCCTTGGGTAGTGAAGGGCGGGGTATACATCCAATTTCTTCTGCTTCTTATTCAACAGAGTTACACCCTTTTGAGTTCAAACGGACTTAGAAGGCGCTTAACTAGTTCAGGACTGCACTGTTCATCCACCACAAGGAGGTTGTAGAGGTACAGGTTTGTGTGTGAGCAAAGAGGATTGTTTATCTATTTTCTTTTTCGCGAGGTGCCTGTTTCAAAACATGAGTGGGGTAAAGGATCATTCAATATTTCACACTGGGCACAGAAATACGGTTGCCAGGTCCCCTGCTGACCAGTGGCGGGGGGGGGGGCGCAAGGTTACCAGATAAAAGTTTGGGAAATTCCTGGTGATTTGGTGAT